AAATGTCGGGCTCAAGTTAAACAGATTGCTCGTCAAAAGAAACTCCTCGGTCGGTCGGCTACCAGGTTCTTCGTCAGCGGGCCCTTTGCTGTCACCAACTAGCGATCCGAGGTTCACGGAGTCAGTGGTGCTGAATTGCAGGGTGCAAAGGATTTCGCAAGAACAGGGGTGTGGTCTGATTTCTGAGGGGGTCTGATTCGAGCTGCGTTGGAGGGTTCCGGGGGGTCTGGGAAAGAGGCCGCTCTTTCATGGATTGTCTGGGGGGGGGGTCTGAACCTGCCCGTCTGAGTGGGCCGTGACCCCCCTCTTTTATTATGAATTTCGGGGTATTCGAGTTGCTGCTGGGAAGTGTCTTCGCCCATCTTGCGGAGGGCGATCACTGTCTGCTGCCCTCGTTTTTGAGAATGAGCTCTGCTGGTGCGCGGCGGTCGCGCCGACCGTGAGATGGAGTACAGCGAGGGCAGGGTTGTGTCATTCTTTCCTACGCTCCATTCCCTTGTCGGAGTTCATGGCGGAATGGGGATGCATTTTGTGCAAAGAAGGGTAAACAACCTAACCGGTGGTCGAGTGTTGCTGGTCCGATCGGCGCCCTGTTCCTCTCTGTGCAGCGCCTGAATTGGACGATGCCCGATTTTGCCACTCTGCGTGACGAGCACGGGGTCGACCTCTCTGTCACCTTCCTGAGTCCCACCCTCCCCAAAGACCTACTGCGTCGACAGGTCGTTCGTTTATACTCGAGCGCTCGGTGGGCAGTAAGCTGGGAGTGGGATGGGACCGAGCCTGTTTCGCCATTGCTACACAGCTAGCCAATACCAGCAACTACTACCCTCTGCAGCGTGGCGCCATCCGTACCATGGCCTGCGACGGAGTTGGGACTCCTGACCTTGCTGAGCAGCTTGGGCATCAGCCCCCGTGGAGCTCCTTGTTCCCAACCAGTGTGGAAAGCTTGACAAGGTCTGGAGGTGCATTTTCTGTTTTAGAGGCTGTCGCTAGGAGTCAGAGCCTCCGAGCGGCTGATGTTCAGGAACTGGCGGAGTCGACTTTGTAGAGGCCGTCAAACTCCAACACCGTGTCCTCAATGTACAATATTATGACAGCCTGCCGTTAGTCATATGCCTGCGCTGTGGCCATGATATGCAGCAGTGTACGTTGGGGCTGAGCTCGCTGTCCAATTTGGTGATGGGCCTTAAAGAAATCCCACCAGCCCTTTGGGCGTGAGTGGTTTAGGGAGCTCTCTCTGTTCTCAACCCCCCAACCCCCCTTCTTCCCCTTCGGGGAAGGGTTTACCCCTCCCCCTACCCCCTCCCCCTGGGCCTGGAGAGGGAGTCCCGCGGGTCGCCAGGGGGGTCTTTTTCGACTCCTGGGAGGGCCAAAAAACAACGACCCTCACGAGGATTCTGGCCCCGACGGGGGGACGCCAAAAAAACCCTCTCCTCTTCTGTGAAGCCAAAATCATTGATTTTACTACGGTTTCGGCCCCATTTTGGCCTTCTGAGGGGGCAGCGCTCCTCTTCCTTGTTCTCAAAATCATTGAGTTTACTAAGGTTTTGGGCTCATTTTGTCTTTCTCAGGGGGTAGCGCTCACTTGCGCTTCTGAGGAGGTCGCAAGAGGCCCCCAAGAGGCCCCAAGATGCCCCCAGGAGGCTCCCAAGAGGCCTCCAAGAGGCCCCCAAGAGGCCCCCAAGAGGCCCCCAGAGGCCCCCAACAGGCTCCCAAGAGGCCCCCACGAGGCCCCCAGAGCCCCCAAGAGGCTCCCACGAGGCCGCCAAGAGCTCCCCAAGAGGCCCCCAAGAGGCCCCAAGAGGCCCCCAAGAGGCCCCACGAGGAGCCCGAACGCCAAAAAAACCCTCTCCTCTTCTGTGAAGCCAAAATCCCACCAGCCCTTTGGGCGTGAGTGGTTTAGAGAGCCCGCTCTGTCCTCAACCCCCCTTCTTCCCCTTCGGGGAGGGGTTTACCCCTCCCCCTCCCCCCTCCCCCCGGGCCTGGAGAGGGCGGGCCGCGGGTCGTCAGGGGAGTCGTTTTCGACCCCTGGGAGGGCCAACAAAACGACGACCCTCACGAGGATTCTGGCCCCGACGGGGGGACCGAGTTTGGCCCCTCTGCTCTTCTTTGAAGCAACAAACATTGATTTTACTACGGTTTTGGCCCCATTTTGGCCTCCTGAAGGGGGCCGCGCTTCTCTTCCTCCATAGCAAAATCGCTGATTGTACTAAGGTTTTGGCATCATTTTGTCCTTCTCAGGGGGCAGCGCTCATTTGCGCTTCAGAGGAGGTCGCAAGAGGCCCCAAGATGGCCCCAAGAGGCCCCCAGGAGGCTCCCAAGAGGCCTCCAGGAGGCCCCCAAGAGGCCCCCAAGAGGCCCCAAGAGGCCCCCAAGAGGCTCCCAAGAGGCCCCCAAGAGGCCCCAAGAGGCTCCAAGAGGCCCCCAAGACGTCCCCAAGAGGCCCCCAAGAGGCCCCCAAGACGCCCCAAGGGGCTCCACGAGGCCCCCAACAGGCCCC